GCCATTTCAGTTCTAAAAAAATCAAAAGAAAATGATAAAAACTTCAAAAAATAAAATCCTTCGAGAGGTAGTTATATTACTACATCTACTAGTTAGGAAAATTTGAAAACTTAAATTTGGACATGTTTGGCAAAAAGTGTAGGGAAAATGTAAAACGGCTATAATTTTTGTATACGATGTCGGAAAAAAACGTATAATATATCAAAAAATTCAGCACGAAAATTCGCATCCGATGGAGACAGCCTATGGCTTGTTTGCAATTTTGTAGAATCCTCAAATTCCAAAAGGACAAAAAGATATGGTCAAATTTCAGTTTTTTTTAAAAAATTGTTAAATCTGGTCGAACTACTTATTCAAGAAGTATTAATGTTACTACATAATTATTCAAGAATATTAGTGTTACTAAATAATTATTTCAATTTTTTGAATTTTGGTCAAATCTGGTCAAACTATGGTCAAACTTATTCAAGAAATATTATTGTTACTAAATAATTACTGTTTTTTTAGAATAATAGTTTCAAACTCAAATCGTGAAATGTGTGACTTCATGCTCAAGCTAAACTCCTGAAGGTTAATAGGATTGACATCTTACTATTGTCAGGAAAACAACAAGTGCAGACTTGGAAACGAAGGAGAATAGAACCCGAAAGTTAAGCGTGCTCGGGCTGGAGTGGTGAGAGGGATGGGTGACCGGTCGGGAAGTTAGATGATTTGGAATGAGTGATCCACACTTAAGCAGTTAAGAGAGGTGATTAGAGACTAAATCACCAAATAATTCAGAAAAATTAAAAATAAAAAAATTCCAAAATTTTCAAAAAAAATTCAAAAAAAAACCTTTAGTACCGGTTGGTAACACCAACTGGTACTAAAGGTCTCCCATACCAGGGCGCGAGCTCACGCCACGTGGTGGCACTTTAGCACCGGTTCGTGCCGAACCGGTACTAAAGGGGGGGGGGGGCTTTAGTGCCCACCAATTAGTGCTGGTTATAGAACCGGCACTAAAAGCCCTTACGAACCGGTTTTAAAGCTCCGTTTTCTACTAGTGTACAGAGGTGTGAAGGACTTTCAATGCCTCTGAGGGCTGACCATCCCAAGCCCGCCTAACGTTGATTCTTCCATAAATCTGTGGTGGGAAGGGTTCCTTGCGAGTGCCTCCAAGCGAAACACGCGGGAGCGCAGTGGGATCATATGATATACTTGCTCTGGAACATTAGAAGGAGAGGAACCGCCGCGTATGGCAAAAGGATGACCTACCGAGAATTGACAAACCTAGCCTTGGCGGATATTCGCTTGCACAGATCTAGTTGTTTCCTCTTTCGCGAGTAGTCTGCATGCCGTTTATGGCCAGTCTGGTTCCCGTGGGAACCTTGTGTAAATTGTACAACGCTCTCGAGAAGAAAATGCATTGTCTACAGAATTTTTCTTCAAATACATATCAATGAAATAATTAGTCCATGAAAATTGTCATTCCTATCAAGCAACGCATGCATGGAGCCATGCACTCTAACTTATCTTACACAAACATGTAAAAATTGGACTTTTAGTTGAAAACACGAGTTTGTATTTTCAATTTTTGTACCAACTCTTCCAACGGCGGTTAGCCTATCTTGTTACGTGCTTAGTTGTTTACTTGTTTTACAGAAACATTGTAACGCTCACGTGTCCTTTTTTACCAATTTCATAATTTATAATGATTGCCATCGAAGTTCACGACACATCAAAACATGCATACATAAAAAGACTTCAACGTATAATCAGTGGCGGAGACAGGGGGGACCAGCAGGGGCCTGGCCCCCGTGACGGCAGAGATGTAGTGCTAATTTGCTAACGAACAGTGCTAAAATAAATGGTTATTTCCTGTCCAAACCATGTTTTTCATTGCCTTGGCCCTCCCCAAGCAGTTTTAACATCATTAGGCCATGTTGATACTATTTTTCTTGCTCCGCCACTGACGTATACCAATCATATCTCATAATGGTACGAAACAAAGCGAAGCCTGAAGACGTGCATCATGTGATGTATAACTCTGACAAAGACCTTTTTGGAGCTGCTAGCTTCCGTAAGGGCACCGCCCGAAAGAAAGTGCTGTATGTGAAGAGAATATACTCCGGACATCGAACCTAACAAGAGTGGGGAATACCAAGACAATACACTCCGGATAACAGCTTTTCTTGAATGAATCTAAAAAAGAGCGTGGAGAAATACAAGCAATGCAGACGTCAAGCATAAGCCACCGGCTAGTGTATCACGGCACGAAAGTTACGTGGAAGTAAAAATCTGCGGTGAGAGAGTTTCTCTCTACTCCCAGTTTTTGTTCCCTAGCAGGTAACCCATTGTTTTTTTTTTTCGAACTGACCAGGTAACCTATTACTTTTTTTTTCAACTGCCAGGTAACCGATTGCTTTTTTTTTTTTACTGCCAGGTAACCTATTGCCACCGTGGAGAAGATTTGCGGAGGCAGCCAGGTTGGCGGCAACGTGTCCGGCATGAATGGTGAGCTATATAAAATGCGGAGTAAAAAACAATGAGATCCACTGTCAATGAATGAATGAAGGAAACGTTTTACCGGATGCCATTTACGGCGCCGAGTCAAAGCAGTCCAAAAATACTCCCCGCCCCGCTGCGGCCAGTCCGTCGCGACGGAGCCCAGCAAGGCAGGAAGGCGACGCCAATTCCGCCTCCTCCTCCTTCAATTCCCATCCACCCCCGCCCCGCCCCGATCCCATCCCGCCTATAAGATCGCCAGGCGGAGGCTAGCGCACGCCATTTCCTTCCCACCTCCCCTCTCGCCGCCCGCCGCGCCGTGGTGCTCCTCGCCAGCGGAACGCAGCCGTGCAGCGATTTGCTTCGCGCCGCCAGTTATCTAGTGGTTGCATGGCGTCCACGCCCGCGGGCCTCTACGGCCGCCTGAACAGGACGAGCACGCGCGCGTTCCTCGCCTACGTCGCCGCCGGGGCCGCCTGCGCCGCCGTGCTCGCCTGCTTCGTCGTCTCCTCCGCCGACCCCGCCGCCGCGCCCAATGGCGCGCCCCGCCTCTCATCGCGCTCCGCGCGCGTCTGGCCCGTAAGCCCCTTCGCTCTTTTGCCTATGTCATCCGCGCGCATGCTCGTGTTGTGTTCGTCGGCTGACCTCTGCGCCGCGCGCTTCAGGATCTCGAGTTCAACTGGCGGCTGGTGGTGGCCACCGTCGTCGGCTTCCTCGGCTCCGCGTTCGGCACCGTCGGCGGCGTGGGCGGCGGCGGCATCTTCGTGCCCCTGCTCAACCTCGTCCTCGGCTTCGACACAAAGTCCGCCGCCGCGCTCTCCAAATGTAAGCCTGCTCGAGCACTCGTGGCGCCCACGGCCACCGCTGGCCCATGCGTCTGACGGCCCGAGATGGATCGATTTGCTGACACGCGTGGGATTTTTGTCTTGCTTGCCCGCAGGCATGATCATGGGGGCGTCCGCGTCGTCGGTCTGGTACAACCTGCAGGTGTCGCACCCGACCAAGGAGGCGCCGGTGCTCGACTACAAGCTCGCGCTGCTCTTCCAGCCCATGCTCATGCTCGGGATCACCATCGGCGTCGAGCTCAGCGTCGTCTTCCCCTACTGGCTCATCACCGTCCTCATCATCATCCTCTTCGTAGGTTCGTGTCCTTGGGACCTCGCTTGATCGTGCCGCCAAAACGTGCCGTTAATTAAGCCATAGCTCCTTTTGTGTGTCTGGTCGGATCACTAAAGTGGATGTGTTTTTGGTGTGCTCAACTCCTTGCAGGTACTTCCTTGCGATCGTTCTACAAAGGCATCCTCATGTGGAGGGAGGAGACAAGGATCCTGGTTAGTTCTTGTCACATTGGCTCTGCCCCTGTTAGTTGCCTTAACAGGACTGTGTTGTGACAAACATCCTTGTGGGAATGATTGCAGATGGAGACCAGGGAGCGAGAAGCCCAGTCCAAGTCTTCTAGTGCCACCAGCGATGGTAATTCTTTTACTTAAAATCGAAGTTACACTCAATATTTATTTGTCTCGTTTTTAACATGTGGTCATTTATGACTCAATATCTGCAGTGGTTCTTGACGCGAGTTATGCGGAGCCTCTCCTGCCTCAATCTAAGCCCATTGAGAAGTCTGGCTTGGTAAGACGCAAATAACTGCTACAGTAGTTTGTATTGTTCTTTCCTAAGCCGTTCTGAGGCTTTTACGACCTGAACATATAAATAAGAGCAATCGGATGCTGTTAGATCCACCTTTTGAAGCAATCACATGATTTTGAAAGTTCATGCTGTCTTTTTGGTGATTCTCTGGTTTGGTGGATGCCGTAAACTTGCAAGAGAACAACAAAACACGAAAAGTACAGCTTGTCAATATGTGTCCTAATAACTGATTCCTCGTTTTTTTTATTCCAGGAGACTTTGATGTTCAATTTGAGGTGGAAGCATATCCTAGTGCTACTGGCTGTTTGGTCATCTTTCTTGGTGCTGCAAATCCTTAAGGTCTCTTTCATATGCATCACAGCAGTAGTTTGGTGCTTCTTATGTTGTTTAGTTGATAACCTTTAGGCACTTAGCAGTTAGCACTGATTGGATTTGACAATGACATCGGTAGTTTAGCACCCCCTTTCTCCATAAGTATAGTAGCAATCATGTTGGAATAACTTTGCAGATGCTGACGGCAGACTGTTCATGAGCTCTTTTAGTACTACCTTCTTCAGTGTAAATTAATTGCTTGTGGCACAGTTAGGCTCCTGCTGTTCTGTTGCCATTGGTGCCTTCAACTTTTAAGACATATGTTGGCTGAAAGTTGTCGCTAATTTCTGCAATTTTTTGCTTCTATGCAGAACAACTCCAAAACATGCAGCACTTTCTACTGGGTGATCAATATCCTGCAGGTGAGAATCACGCTGCAGCCTGCTACTACTTTATAATTAACCAATTAGATCCTGTCTTGCCCTTTCACCTTAGTTGTCACAGAAAACTTGTGCTCACTGTTTTGTTTACATTTGAGAGCATATCATTGCAATGGACATGCATGTCTTTTCAAAACTCATGAAAAGTTTGGTAGACTTGCATCTTTAGACCATCTACTCGGCCGCTTTTAAGGGCCCCTTAACTTACACCAAACCTTAACTATTCTGTCGGTTGTACATTGCACAGATTAGGTGGTTGCAGTGCAACCTTTTTCTACCTGATGCAATCTAGCCATGTGTGTTGATTGATATAGGTCCCAGCTGCAGTAAGTGTTTTCGTGTGGAAAGCGGTTCAGCTGTGCAGGGAGAGCCGTGCTAGACGCATGAATGGTAACCTGGAGTGTGTCTGTGAGGCCAATATTGAGTGGTCACCGACGCAGCTCATCTTCTGCGCCTTCTGCGGCCTCCTGGGCGGTACAGTCGGTGGTCTTCTTGGGTCTGGAGGGGGTTTCATCCTCGGCCCACTACTTCTTGAGCTAGGGTGCATCCCTCAGGTATTTGAATCATTTCATGTGTCATGGTTTCATTTCTTGCAGTTCATTTCAAATATTGTCATGCCTTCATATGTTCGCATTCGATCTTATTCTCTTGTGACGAACTGACGCAAAGGCGACACTTGAGGGTGTAGTTAGCCTCTCAATTACGCATAGTACAAGTGTCATGAGTGTACGTTTTATCACTAACATGATACTGAGGAACACCAATTAAGCACTGTAGTTGAGCTTTTGTGTATCCTGTGTCCTATTGTGTATAATGTATCAGTGAACAAGACTGGGGAAGAAAGGTTATAATACGGTAGGTATTTCGTGTAGGTAGCCTGTATTTGTATCCGTACCAAAGATAGCAGATCCATGTCTGAATTAGCATCAAAATCACGCGTTACAACAATATTTGAATTTGCTAATTTGATCACTGTATTATAGGCTTAAAGGATGACAAGTAAAATATACGGTATTATTTCAGCAGGCCAAAGAAAATTATATGCTTGTGATATAATAAATCATTTTTTTACTTTGTTAAGTAGGACTGCATCGTCAAATCACTCCTTTAATTTCTCAAATATTTCCATGTCAGTCTCCCCATACTGTTTATGTCAAGTATACCTCTTCGATTCAGAGGAGTTCTACTATCCTGCAGTTAGCTAGTGGTAGATATCTCCAAGTGTAGCTATTTATATGATTGTCAGTATTCTATAAGGCATTGAATTCAGGCAAGATATGTATTTGGTGTACCGCAGTGAACTACGACTACTATCTAGATATCCCTTTTTTAGGCATTGAATTCAGACAAGATACGTACTAGCGAGATAAGTTTATCTATGCCCAAGTAGATCTGACCTAAGAGGTTTTCTATAGCAACTAGGAGTTCTTTAATACAGTAGTTTACAGTCGTTGTTTTGACATGGTCCATTCCATGACCGTCCTTGTATCTTTGTCATCAAGATTTGTCTGTTTTTGTCGTTCAGACATTGTTTCGTCGTGCAAGGCCTTCACCAAACAGCATGTTCTCATCAGTCGCGTAGTGAATGGAGCTTAATTAACCTTCTTCACAATCAATGCTGCTCCCCTATAATTTGCATGTGGACACGATCTTGCAATCAGCCAAATAGGCAAGCGATAACATTTGATATTGAGCTTGGCTGTGGTGACTAGGGAGTCGTACTGAACCCCATGTGCTATTTGTTATTTAGTGGCCTACATGCGATGCTTTGATGGATGGAAGGTGTGTAGGCCAGTTTCCTTATTGGCGTAATTTTGCCAAGATCTAGATCTATTCAGATTCATTGCTGAATATGACATATGCTGGTTATTTGAACTGAAACTTGATAACCAAGTTGGACAAGGAATTGTCTTGCATTGTTCGTCATCTTTAGATAATCTGAATATTGTTTGCAACGCCACTTCGTTTGCTCTTGTTGGTATAGGATCCTTTACTTTCCATGTTTTGATGCGAAAGTTCATTTATTAATTAGTGAGTTATGGCTTTGATGTGCAATAGAAAATACTCCGTATGTGGTAAAAAACATTGCAAAGAAGAATATTGAAACTTGAGCTGTTTGTTATTTACTTATTTATACCCAGAACCATGTGATTTTGATCACATGTTCTCTTTGTTTGTGCCTGATAGGTTGCAAGTGCAACAGCAACATTTGTGATGATGTTCTCCTCGTCCCTGTCTGTGGTCGAGTTCTACTTTCTGGGCAGGTTCCCAATTCCTTATGGTAAGTAAACACATGGCTCCTGGATGCTGTTTAGAGAGCTGGCAAGCACTAGACAGATTAATTGTTTAATAACAACTTTTGTTGTTTCCTCCTGCAGCTCTGTACTTGATCTTCATTTCCATACTGGCTGGATTCTGGGGCCAGTGCTTGGTCCGGAAGATCGTGCATGTGCTCAAGAGAGCGTCGCTGATCGTCTTCATCCTCTCCTCCGTCATCTTCGCCAGTGCTCTTACCATGGGTATTGATCATTACTCTACCTCTGATTTAACCAATTGCTCACCAGTAAAACTAAAGATCAGTCAAACAAAACATTCACTATGGTACAAGTGTTACCTGTCATCTTGGAAGTAACTTGTTTAAAACAATAGTTTCCTCGAACAAACTTGCATAACCTATGATTAAACAACTTCAATAGGATTTCTGCTAGTTTCCCTAACGGCATGTTGCTTGCTCAGGTGTTGTCGGGACCGAGAAGAGCATCTCGATGATCAACAAGCACGAATACATGGGGTTCCTCAGCTTCTGCTGAGTGAGCAAACCAAGCAGGCGACCGCCAGACCGGGGGAGAACCCAGGCCAATACCTAATTGACCTCACCTCTCCCCAGTCCACTTGAGTGCAAGGATGAAATAAAAGAAGCCGTGACGCGTGCCCGTCGTTAGCTCCTCGCTAACCTGCCCGGCCAAGGAAATTCTTCTAGTAGCAGCAGTCGGTGATTCGCGCGTTAGCTCCTGGCTAACGCGCACATAGTGTCATGGTCTTGTGGCGCGGCGTCGTGCCGTATGCTGGATGTTCTTTTTGTTGGGTCATGTGCTGGTTAGCTCCTGGTTAACCTGCAGTGAAGCATTCGTCGTAGGGTTTACGCCGATTCATCCATGCGCTAGCTAGCTCTTGGCTGGCTACCGTGCAAACGTTGGTTGTATTGGATGATGTAAATATATCAGCCGGCCAATTGGTTGCTGATTTGTCTATATAGCTTGCTTTGCTCCTATCCAGCCGTGGTCCTGTATGCGTTCAACTTGAAAAACCAGGCAGCGGTTTTTTTGTCATGGTCACTACGGATTGCATCGTGGTACCAACCAAGGAGCAATTTTCGATGTTCAGAAGACTTGACCATAAAAGATCTCAAGAGACCGCACGTGATTCAGGTCAGGTGTACAAGATATTCTTTGGACAACCTCGCTTGCTCCCTTGCTCTCGAGAACTGCGGCAAGGGTTTTCTTTTGTACGATGGCAGGATTGGAAGGGAATTCCGCTACAAAAATAGTCGCCTGTGATGGATGTGAAGAAGATTGAGTGACCCATGAACACAATCAATGGGAATTGGACGCCACCGGCACACCATAAGTTGTGTTGGACTGGATGGTGACATTGCCAGGTTGCCCACACCCACGTACACGTCACTGATACTTAGTATACCTTCAACGCCACAGAGTCCAATACATTTGTCAGGTATAACTTCTTTCAGGATGTCAGGGAACCAAATAAAGTCTTACTGTCTTAGTAGAGCGCTTTGTGCTGTGATTTCTTACAGGTCCAAGTGTATCTGATGTGTGCAACCTAGGCTGCACCACATGACGGAATGTTTTATGTCTGATGTGTGCTTGCAAAGCTTTCTGTTCAATTCCGACGCACAAGCTTCACAAATAAAAAGCTCAGCAACCCACATGCTAATGCTAGCTATGCAAATGCAAGCAGCACAACAACAATCACGCAACTATAGAGACAAGGCAGACATTGTCACTAATAGTTGGCATTCCAGCAGCAAAGCTTCAGAGCTGCCGAATGGGTGGTATAATGTCTCTTCCAACACAAGCTTCTTTGCTCATCATATGCCCCATACATACCGTGATGTACTCTAGGCAAACACAAAGCAGGTCCCTGCGTACCAAACTTACACAAAAAGCGGGGCACTCGCGGCGCTCATCTTGGATGGAAGTCCTACAAACTTACAGGTCGCGCCAGAAGCGGCTAACAGGAGAAGAGAGAGATCACTCCAGGAGAACTTCGCCTTCGCCGATCGCTTTGTTCATGATTTTCGTCGACACGTCTTGGTCTTCCTTCTGAGCGTCGCTGCCACCGTCTTCTTTATTGCTCACCGGAGTGGAAGAGGTGTCGGTGTTGTTACCGGCATTGTCCCCGTCTCTGGATGTGGCCTTTTGGTCATCAGTTGAACCTGAAGCCACAGTCCCATTCGGTGGAGAATTCAGCTCAGCAGAAGTCAGGTCAGCTAAGAGTTGTTTTTGGTTGTTCGACGCTGCTGTTGAATTCACTGGCTGCTCATGTTGACCTTTCAAAGAGGTTGAATTACTTGTCCCTGATACAGCATGGCTGCTTGTCATATTCACTGGAGTTGGATCAGTCTTGCTTACTGAGACCATGCTGGGAGTGCTCCTGTTTGGGTCGGATGATGCATTAGTTTTTGAAGAAGCTTCATGCTCCCCAACAGCATTGGTTCCATTCACTCGAGGGCCCCGGAATGTAATTCCATTTGATAAATTGGTGGTGCCTTCAAAGATCCTATCCATGTTCTTCAGCTGTTCGTCGGGGAGAGGATTCGTGACTTGGGCATCATGGTCCACAGAACTCGACACATTCTCGCCTCCAGAACTCTTCTCCATGGCCTTGCGATCTTCCTCCTCCTTGTGCTCAGGTTCCTGGTTTTCATGAGGAACCGCAGTTGAAGCATCATCCACGAACAAGATCTTCTCTTGGGCATGATGGGTCAGCTCATCTTGCTGCGATGCCGGAGGGTCATGTGTTACAGCGCTGGATACATCGTCACCATGGAAACTCTTCTCCTGATCCTCCTGAGAGCGCTCTTTCCGCTCTTCGTCCTCAAACACAGCCCTGCCGTCTGACCCTTCATCCTTGTTAGCCGAGTGCTCCCCAGGCTCAGGAAGATCCTCATCCTTGTCCAGGTCTGGCTCATCGATGGGGTCGTCATCATGCTCATCGCGCTTCATTTCTGGGTCCATCTCCTCATTCTCTTCGTCCTCGACCCGTTCATCCAGTGTTGACGAGTCGGCCTCCTTTGCTGGCAGGTCTTTCCTGCCCAGTTTGATGACGCCCGCCTGGCTCTGATCATCTTTATGCTCATCACTGGCTTCGTTATTGGTGGCATCATTTTCAGTATATGCCGTCTTCTTCTCGTACGAATGCTTTACTTGGTAGAGCAACCAAACAGACACAAGAACCAAAAGACTTATCTGAAGAGCTTTCTTTAGCTTCAGACCTTTCGATCTGTGGTTCCTACTAGAGCTCTGCCTCAGCATTATTATTAGTCTATCGAGCAACAGAGCAACCTGTTATCTCAACCCCTGAAGCCTTCCTACATGAAAAGGTCAACAACATATAAGCATCATCCTCGACACTGAACACCCAGCTGGGATAAAAACAACATGATAAAATACTTGAACAATTGGACAATAAACTTGTCCAGTTATAAGCCAAAATACATATCGACAAAATCATATCCATCTTGTCACAAGCAAAGAACTGAATTGTATTATAGCATGTTGGTGGTCATGGAGACAATTTGGGGACAGTAGTCACATGAAACAAGCCATGCAGTTTAGATCTGAACCACCACCTCCAACGCAGAAGTTTCCTAGTTGCTACCTCCAATCAAGCCATGTGTACCATGTAACTGTCCGGGTTAATTTTCTGAAACGAAAACCAACTCCCGAGGATCATCAACAACAGCAGTGTGTGGTACGTTACTAGTACTGCCGCTACTCACCCAACATAGCACTAATCAACGCCGAGACAGCTTAGGAAACAAGTAAGAGTCCCAACATTTCCACAAAACACCCAGCAGGCCGCCTCTACACCCATTTGCTAAACCAAAAGAAACAGGGGTAAACTACCAGTTCAGTTGAAATGGCCTGAATAGAGCATGTGAGGACTCTAATCACCTAACAGCGTAACAGCCTATGATAATCAAATGAAAGATTTGAGCTTCGGGGAAGAAGTAATCCGGAACAAGCATAGCCTAAGTGTAGGGATTTCTTCCCCAAATCCAGGCAAGAAACCTCAAACCCCAGCTGAACGGACCACCGCACACCAACATCCCGACGACCTCAGCAGCACGAACACCCAAGAAAACACAAACAAACCAAGAGGCGCTTAAATGAGCTCAAGAACCTGCATGGGATGGCCACGGCGCACCGCGACTATTCAACCTTGGCACAGTAAGAACAAGGCCATGAATATCTCACCTTGGGACACCGGCAACCAAGATGCCCGGAGCAGCAGCTGTTCTTGGTCCGGCCCTGGCCCCTCCTCCCCTCTCCACCGCAGGAGATTTAAGGAGAAACGCGCAGGCGGGTCGAGCAGGGACCGGTCAAAATCAAGATGCTTGCTCACCAAAATCCTCCTCTCCCCCACTAGCGCCCGAGCGGACGGATCTAACCGCGGATTGTTTGTTTGGACGAACGGGGGAGAGGGGAGGGGAGCTGGTGATTGATAAACAAATGAGGCGCGACGGTGGCGGTGAGGCGAGTGGATTCGGGTTGGGGTTGGGGGCTGGCGCACACGGCGATTGGGGGAATGGCGGTAGGTGCTGCTGCTGGCTGGGTAGGGCGGAGGGGACGGGGGATTTATGGCGCGATTTGGACGGACGGAGCTTCGCGGTCAGACGGAGGAGAGAGGGGAGGGGCGGTGAATTTTGGCGTGCGTCGTCCTCTTTTTTCTTCTCTCCGGTAGAGTGATATTTCTCCGTTTGTTTTTTGGAGGACCTTCTTGTGTTTGCGGCTGGGGCTTTGGCAGCGAGTGGTTGGAGGTTGGGGGCAGGGAGCTTTGGAAGGCCCGTCACAGCGCTGCCGGTTTTCCCCATGCCCTCCCCCTCGCTGGTGTACAGGTTTTGTTGCCTGCTGCGTGACAGGAAGAGCCAATTTTTTAATCCTGTGTTGATATGCTGTGTCTGTGTGATTGTGAAATGCAATTTTATTTACTTGAATTCGTAGAATTTCTTTATGCATGTGTTTGTTCAGCTTGCTAGGCATGCTAGATTTTGCGAGGACGGTGAGAAGCTGGGTTAGGTCAAGTTTGAAATGAGCTCGACACACGCCACGTGTGACAATAGCGCACACTTGTAGTGTGAGCGGGTGGTATCATATACGCATTATTAGTGGAGTATTTTCTTTTGCGAGAGTGTTATTTTTGTCCGGGAGATAAATATGTCGAACCTTAGTTACGTACTCCGTCTGTTCCAAAATAAAAGTTTTGACCTTTGTACTGACTTTATATAACTCATATAACAGCCAATGAACAAAGTGGTAAATGAAACATGAAATACGTAATATTTTGTGACCACTGTACTAGGTCAATCATATCATATATCTGCATGTCTTAGTTAGTGGGTGAGGTTTCCATGAAATTGATTGGTAGTACCATAATATTTTGGAACCACTCACTTGCAAGTACGTAATGATACCGATTGTTTTTGTTGTGTGATTGTAGAAGTGATCATTGAGGATCACATGAAAGATATTGTTCCAACGCCACTATTATACGTATTATGAGAAAAATGACATATTCCTACCTGCCACCGTATACAGCTTAGAGCAACTCTACCAGAGATGTCATAATTGGGACTGCAATACTCCATATGGAGCTCCCTCATACTACTACATAATGATTTGGAGGTTGTCGGGCTCGTGCGCAAACACGAAATCACCAATTGTCCGCCTCCATAACTTTTTTGTTTATTTTTTATTTGCTCAAATTGTAGAGGCAATTTAAACAACATTTGATGTAACCAAACACGTCTATCAACACGATAGCTTAACTACCGACTACATTAGTGGCCAAGATCTGCCACATTACATATATTTTGCAACTTGAAATGTCGTTAAGCGGCATTTTCAAAAAATGCAATCGTTGTTCGACATTGCTAGCTACTACTACCTACATAGTTTGACGTCGGCACCGCCTAGTCATCGTCCTCCTCCTACACCTTGTCCGAATTAGATAGGTCGTCGAGGTAGGCGTAGGGGTCGGAGCGACGACCGAAGCTCCTGCTCCTCATCGTCACCGTTTGTGGGACCAAAGTGCCCAGATGCGCTCCTACTCGCAACGACACGCGCCCACTTCGAGCTTGGAGAGCCGCAACACTACCCGGAGTGGGTCTCATCTCGGGCTCCGGCTGAGCCTCGGCGGGGATGGGGACGAATAGGACGATGGCCCAATGTCATTGACGGGAGACGATGGCGCCCAAGGCGCCAGATCCATGCCGCCCGCCACAACGGG